TTTCTTAATGCTATTGTTTTATATTGCATCCCACTTTACACATTAGCCTTCTGTTCCTCCTTTTTCCGGGCCACATAAAAGAATCTAAACTGTAGTGGGAACATTAACAGCCCACCCCACACACAGGACATTATTATCATATAATATGAATAGATCTGTAATACTGAAAGAAACTAGAGATCACAAATTATCAAGGACCATCTCATTTTACATATATGCAAGATAATACCCAGAGAAGTGATGATGGATACAAGATCAAGGTCTGGTTAATCATAGAACCAGCAGTGGAAGCTAAGTTCCAACATATTTTTTATTTGCTTTATTTCTCTGTCCATAAAAGCAAAAGAAACTTAGAAGATTTCAAAAGCTTAGTCTACCAATAGTAATCCTACAAAGCAACATTCTCCTAAGTTGGAAATTTAGTGTTCTTTTTTAACAAAAAATCAAAATGTCTTTAAAACCTAGAGCACCCAAAAGATATACCAGACCACACACACTAATGAAAAATAATAGAGTGCACAATGTTGGTTCCAGTAAGTTAAATATCCACAATCTCATTTTTCTTCATTATTTTCTACTTGCTTATGCTTATAAGGATCCACTTCGTTGCAAGGGATAAGCGTTCAAATGTAACATTACTAAAATTTAATAATTTCTTTATGGATGAATCAAAGGGAAAGAGTGATGGGGAAAAAAAAGGAGTGATGGGAAAAACTTATTTTTCTCTAGGTAGAAGGTTGCTTGTCCAATTACAAGGGGTACCTTAGAACAGGTACATTTTATCCAGGAAAAGGCCACAGTCCAATAAGAGAATATTCATTATTTGACAATTGTGACTGTGTAGAGAGGTTTCAACATCACCAGAAGTTGGTGTAGTCTATGCATGAGACATATGACCACGCAGCAGTTTGAGAAGTAATTTATATCTACAGACTGGTTGGCAAAATACATAAACAATTTCAAAAGCAGGTAGATTTGGTGGTAAAGGCAAGGTCTGTAACTGAGAAGTGGCAACTATTATGTCCCCAGACCCAAGACTCCACGTCACAAATGTGGTGGGGCCTGCAGAAAGCAATGGTGCTTGGCTGGCTTGCATGTGACAGTCAACGTACATGGTAATTAGAGGGTAGAGGTAAATGCACTCCAGGACCGGGGCTGGGGTGAGTGAGGAAAGGCCTGGGGTACATAATTTAGGAAGGCAGTTCCTTGCCTTGGGATGCCTGGGTGGCCCAGCGGTTGAGCATCTGTCTTTGGCCCAGAGCGTGATCCCGGGGTTTGGGATCGAGTCCAGCATCAGGCTCCCTGTGAGGAGCTTGCTTCTCCCTCTGCTTGTGTCTCTGCCTCTCTCTCTGTCTCTCATAAATAAATAAAGTCTTTAAAAAAAAAAAAAAGGAGGCAGTCCCTTGCACGACTCTGATGGTGAATGTCTCCTTAAAAATAAGTTGTTGCAGTAAAGCAAATCAATGGGATGAGAACAAACATAGCAGAACACTAGGAACTCAGAAAACCCTTAAGGAGGCAATAGGGGAGCTCCTGGGGCAGTGGTAGGTAAGATATGATGAAATGTATGATTTCCTGTTGAATAGCATAAAGTATTTAAGTATTTTGAACTTAAGAAACAACTCATGTTTCCTTAATTCAGAGTACAGTGCCTCTCAAGTTAGAGTCTGCATCCCTGAACTCTACCCTGTGTGTGTTAGCATTTTATTAGATTGTTAATTGCAACTGAATGAGTCCCTAGTCACATAAATAAGCACACTAATTTTGCTTCCCAAGAATAACATGAGCCCAAAGATCTAGTTCTGCATATCAAATGTGAAGGTTGTTTTTTTTTGTTTGTTTGTTTGTTTGTTTTGTTTTGTTTTTTTATCAATGATATCTCGTCATCCCAGACATGAGGCTCAGGCTTTCTCAAACATCAGTGCTGCTACTGTCTATTTCTAGACCTGTAGGATTGCAACTAGCTCATTTTTCATTATTATGTAATCTCTTATCTTTTTGCTGCCCAGATTTCAGAGTTTAATAAAAAGAGCCTGCTGTTTTCCTCCTTGAACCCCACACAATATTCTTCCAAGTGATGTGTCATGCTTATGCAGTTACCTCTTCCTGAAGCTCCCTTGGTATCCCCCTTACACCCACCCTTCACACCAAGATAATGGGAGGAAGTTTGTCTCCTCTAATACATGTCAACTAGCTCTTTAAAAGCAAAAGTCTTTGTCTTTTCTAAGTTCCCAGCATTTTTCACAAAAGAATTATAATGCAAAGTTGAAGTGCAAAGTATATTTAGTGAGCTAAAGTCAGAACAAGGAGCTGACATCATATAATGTAGTAAGGGCATAAGAAGTAGGGTAATTATGAATGACCTCACTGAGCTTGAGAAGTAAGCTCCCCCTCTCCACTCTTAGTTTCTTATTAGCCAACAACAGAGCCCAGCCTTCCATCAACCAACAGACATTGACTAGTGCTACCTGGTGCCCAGACTCAGTAGGACACCAGAGGGTGGATGTAGAAAAAAGCAGAGTGCACATAAGAGGTGAAAAGTCATGGAGGGAGAGAGGGGGAGAGAGAAAGACAGAGAGAGAGAGACAGAGAGATGGATGGAGATGGGGGAGAGATGGAGATAGGGGAGAGAGAGAAAGAGAGAGATGAAATAGAAAGAGATGGAGATGGAGGAGAGAGAGAGAGAAAGATGGAGAGGTTGAGGGACAGAGAGATATGGAAAGGGATATGAAGATATAAGAGAGAGAGGCAGAGACGGAGCTGGAAATATGGGGACAAACAGAGAGAAAAGAAAAGCAGAAAAAGAAAAGTGGAAAATAGAAACTAGCAGTAATGAGATATTGGGAAAAATCACTGTTCCGAGAATGAAGGATACCAAGGGTATTCATTTTGTCTGCTCCCTGAAATCTGAATCTTCATGTTATACTTGGAAAAGCTTACATATTAAAAGTATGCCACTGTATGCATTTCCTTTCCCCTCCTTTGCCTCTCTGTTTCAGTTTTTGGCCTCTCACCTCAAAGATTGCACGATATTGGGGGTAAATCTCCAAGTCATTCCAGAACTAGACCCTTCTATGTCACTGGATACCCTTTCCTTCCATTTTGGGATTGTTCTCAGTTTTAAATATTATCTGTACTCATCAGTCCTTGTTGGGCCCTGTGACTTCCTTACTTGAAGATAGAAGCTATTAGTTGTATTAGGTTTGCTGACTGTGACCACAGGACTTCCCACTGGCCATGCTACTGTGACTCTTTTGAGTTTGCTTTCCCAAATGTTTTCTTTAGTCTACATTTTACTCATTCCACATTATTTCCAGAATGCATCCACCCTCACTGCTAATGGTAATGGTTCAGACTCACAGAATCTTTTTGTCTCACTAAAAACATTTTTCAGTGTTTATTTATACCAAAGTCAATGATGACACATTTTTATTAATTATAACTCTTTGGCTATGAGTGACAGAAATCTGTTTTTAATTATTTTTATTCATTTAGACCAAAAGAAGACTTTGTTGGCCCGTATAATTAAGGGAGATAAAGGGCTACTCAAGCTGGCTTAAGAGATAACAAAAACCAGAGGCTCCTGTGTAACCAAGAACTCCTATGTCCCTCCTCTCTATTTCTCTATTTTCTTTTTTTTGAAAAAAAAATTTTTATTTATTTATTTACTTGAAAGAGTGAACACAAGTGGGGAGGGGCAGAGGGAAAAGCAGACTCCCTGCTGAGCAAGGAGCCTGATGCGGGACATTATTCCAGCACCCCAAGATCATGACCTGAGCCAAAGGTAAACACTTCATCGACTGAGCCACCCAGGAGCCTCTCTTTTACTCTATTTTCTGTCTTCTGGGCAGGTTCCTGTGCACAAAAGACCTGGTTTCCATGTATCCATGCTTAGCCCATTATTGTCTTGCATATAAGAGAAAAAGAGCCTCTTCTTTCAGCTTCAGTTAGAAAAAGCTTGAGAAAAAGGTATCAGGAAAGACAAATCAATAAACACCCATTACACGTGGTTGAAGCAAGTAGTAAAATTTTGTTGGTGATTTCTCCCACTCATGATTAGTTATCACCAAATATGTTATGAAAAAGTTATAACTGAATTCTAATACTATGTTTAGCCTCTCAAACAAAAACTTGCTCAAATTAAAACTAAACACAGAGGGTGTCCTTCCTCAGATTTGTATTCTACAAGGATGTGTCTACTTTTCACTACTACTGCTGAGCAGTTGATCCCAAGGATACCTGCATAGGTTATAAGATTCAGAACATCAAAAGTTGTCTAATCCTATCTCCAGTTCAATGCAGAAGTCACTAAAACAAACAAACATGAGATTATTCATCTACCTGTTGAGAAACCGAATAGGTTCAAAGTACCGAGGCCATAATAATTTTGTCAATTTATAATTCACCAATTTATATTTTTTTATAATAAGCCCAATATTTCTCCTTAAAACTCCTTCCATTCCTCATAGTTTTAAACTTTAAGACTCCATCTGTCTCTTGCACATAAACACACAAATACACACACACTGAATAACCCATTTTTTTATATATATTTAAGATAATCATAATGTCCTCCAACCCCAAATGCTTCATATTTTCTCTTTTTTATGTCAGTATATTAGATTCATTCAAATATTTTATATATTTTCTAAATGCCTTTTCACCTGGTTAACATCTCTGGACAAATTCTCATTCAATACTGTTTTGAAAATGTGAACTCAAAACCAAATAAGCATAAGGCGTCCTCACTGAAAACATGATGAGAATGTTGACTTTAAATGGGCATACTCTCAATAATAAAAATCCTACCAGCTTTGGAAGACATGCACACTTACTAACTCTTAGTACACTGCCCAGAGAATTTCACCATGGATCAGGCTGATGCCATTTCCTAGGGAAATCCAAACCCATTTCCTAGGGAAAGTATTCCGAGGGTCTGGGGCCCCAAAAGACAGATTACAAGTCAGACTTTGAAAATCAATAAAGAACAATGCAAAATATCAGATTCAACAGTGAATGAATTTATTAGGTCAAACAAAACTGGACCTCCATACATTTTGCAAGAAAAATCTATGTAGTTCTGAGCCAATTTTTTAAAATTGTAGGCACACACTTAATATTGTGGTCATTCATTAATTTCACTGTCTGAAGGACGTAATCTATCAGCTGGTATTTGATGCCAGACAAAGGGTGAAGAGCTGGTGATAAGAGCCTTTAGCTAACATGCCTGAGAAACTCTATGGTAGCAGCTCTAAGTAGAGGCTGAAAAATTTTACTCAAAGGGTCTGGAAACTCAACAAGTTGATTTACAGAAAGCTGAAATATAGGTTGGCCTGTAACAAGACTGGAAACGCCTAGAAGCCAACGAGGTCGGGTGGCAGCTTCTGGATCCATAGCCCAGGGAACGGCAGCTGCTGGACCCCAAACCCAGAGACCCAGAGCAAGTCGTCTGGCAGGGACTGCAGATCTTGGAGGTCCTTGGGCGGTAGCAGGACGTCAGGCAAGGTCTGGACACCACACAAGATGTCTGGCAGCTGGTGGGCTTACAGCAGGTCTCCTGACAGCCACTGTGGAGGGAGGAGCCCACCTGGCAGGTGCTGGGAGAGCAGACGTCAGTGCGGTAGACCAGGTTGCTGGGGTGGGATGAGCCACAGGAGGAGCTGGGGTAGCGCAGGTATCCCCCAAAGGAGGGGGAGGAGAAGTTTCCAGAGCAGCAGCTGTAGGACATGTTGGAAGGAGATGTGAGTTCAGCTGAGGAGCAGTGAGGAGATGCTCTGAGTTTCAATGCCATGGTCTGGACTCCAAGTTATATATACTCTTAGACGTGGGTGTGTCACCGTCCAGATGTTCCCTCCTCCTCACTTGTCACCCTATGTAAGAATGCCTCTCTAGGTTATTGCTTAACTCTAATTTATCACATCTTCACATAGTTAATTGTGCTTTAATCACTCTGATACACTTCGGGAGAAGCTACTCAGGTCTTTCCCCAGGAATTCTCTGTGATTTGACCTTTGAAGTCCTATGTCATCACACTTCCGAATATCCTCCCCCTTTTACTCCACGTGGACCTTGAGTCCTTATTCCACCAAATGGACTTGTATAAACTTATCCTTCATTTCCTTAAGGCTAGCAGAAGCATCAGTGGTTACTATTCGATATACTTTGTCCTTTTCTTCACAAGCATATCACAATGGATTTCTCCAAATACTAACTATACTTAGCAGTATAGCAGTGAACCTTTTATTCTTTTCTCTTTGAATTAATCCATGTAATTACTGATATCCGTTAATTTAACTTAATTAAGTTGTGGATTCTTTGGCAAAACACTCAGCCTGCCTTTTCTGTGATACACTTGACTTTCTCATATCTTGAATTAAGGGGTATGGCTATCATCCCTGCTGACCATGCCATTGGACTTCCTTAAAGGGAATGGAAGCCTAAAAGACTTCCTTAGAGGATGCCCTTCTTCTTCTTCTTCTTCTTCTTCTTCTTCTTCTTCTTCTTCTTCTTCTTCTTCTTCTTCTTCTTCTTTCTTCTTCCTTTCTTCTTCTTCTTTCTTCTTTTAAGATTTATTTATTTATTCATGAGAGACATAGAGAGAGGCAGAGACACAGGCAGAAGGAGAAGGAGGCTCCCTGAGGGGAGCCAGATGTGGAACTCAATCCCAAGATCCTGGAATCATAACCTGAGCTGGAAGTAGATGCTCAACTGCTGAGCCACTCAGGTGTCCCGAGAGGATGGTCTTCTAAGAAATAAACACAATCCTTTGAGTGAGACTTTAAAAGGAAGTGTTTGCTGGAACTGAATTTCTGTGTGTATTTTCTGAGAAGCCTATCTTGTAGCAGGCATTATTCTCTGCTTATGCCCTAAACCAACTCAGTTTTTATTGTTGTTGTTATTTGGTTTTATTTCTGGGTGAAGGGACATATTCTCAGTTGCAGTTATTAATTTATATCTGAAATTATACTTCAGGAATTAACGTCTAACATTTTCTGAAGCAGCTAACTTGAAGCATTAGAGTTACATGGGTCTTTGGTATCTGTGGTCAACCCACACATTGAAAAATTATGCCAAAGAAAGTTCAGTAAATTCCGGCTAACTGCTAAGAAAGATAGAAGCTCAAACCATGTTCTCCTTATGCAGCATCAAGATCTGAATACTCTGCAAATATAAGAGCAAATTTAACTTTAACTTGTCTCAGAAAAGAATCTATTAAGTTTATTTATACTAAGATATAAAAGCCTAATAAAGCCTTATTTACCTCTCCTAAGAATATTTGCATTAAATAGTGTTCAACAGAATTCCATGCATCACTGATCTTTATGCATTTAAAATATATTATACATTCTAGCACAGAAAGAGAAAAGAATCTGGATAACCCATACTTAGATTAATGAAAAACAAAAACAAAAACAAAAAAAAAAACAAAAAAGGAAGAAGAAAAAGGGCTTCTTCTTATCTGGTCTGTGCCCATTCATCTTCTTTAGAATCTGACATTTTATTTGGTTTAACTAAGGGGAATGGCATTTACAATTGTCATTGAAAAGAAAGCTCCTTAACTACCTGAAAATTAACTTGCTGAATTCCAAAGCACGCTGCTTCAGAGCACTTAGTTACTTTGTTTTATGATTATCTCTCCCATGCAGAATCCAAAGTGTGGCATGCATCACATGAAGTGCCCTTGTGCAATACTTAAACCATCACTCTGATTCACAGAAGTAAAATAAGTTATGCTTTATGAATGGACACCTATTAAATTTACTGAAGAAATATGTGCCATCCCCAACACATGGGATTCCTTAAAATGCCAGCCTTTAAACTCCTTTAGAATGCACAATATTTCTCTCTCCCTATTAATAATTGATTCTACTAAAACTAAATAAATAAATAAAAAAGATCTTGCTTTTTCAGGCCAGCTCCCCATGCCTGGGAATTAACATTAAAATAACTCGAGAATAAGTCAATTCCAATTAACATCGCCCCACACCCATTCCTAATTAGGTTAACACTTTTCATTAGTCATTCGTGCACTTTGTACAGATACTAGTGAATAACTCAGAAATGCTAATAAATGTGTTCCTCTGAAAGGAAGAAAAAGCAAAACAAAACTAGAGTGGTTTTAATAGTTCAGAAGTGGATCCCGAAACTAATAAAATGCTCTGTGTACGCTACAAACACAGGCAAAGTTTTCAAGAAAACAAAAATCACTATCTGGATATGTCAAAAGAAAAATGCTATATTGCAATTTTTTTTGCTTTTTTGGAAATGGAAAAATACCAATAGTACATAGAACAAACAAGCATTAGAGGGCTCAGTAGCCACAAGGAACTTTATGACCTGAATTACCTGAATCATGATTATTTTTCCAGGTCATCACTTTAATAGAGTTCACTCTTTACGCTGACAGTCGCCTTTTGCAATGTTTTCAGAAATTTTTGAATACCTTTCAAATCAGGTGAATATTAGTAGAAATAAAATAAATCATATGTTCCAGCCTATACCTTTATCTTTCCCTTTCACTTCTTTCTTATATTCTCAAAACTGCCTCCTCAAGACCTACAAGGGCCTTTTATTGCCCTGTCTGCAAAGGTTCTTCTTCCTAACAGCTATTGCTCACTAGGATTTTACTTTCCAAATTCTCTCACCGAGGGAGTGATTTGTCTGTTAAAGGTTATCGCTAAGTATAGGCTGAAAGACCCATTTGTGGGTAAAGGAGAAGAAAACCACTCAACCTCTCTGCTCTGGCTTCTGGCCCAAGTACCAAGCAAGATGGCCATGAGCCACTACTTTCCCAGAGGTCATCCTACCCCATTGTTAGACTCTCTGGGCACCGGCGCTCCTCTTACATAACCCAAGTCTCTTCCTGCTTCAAACTGACCAAACGTTTTAGGTCTGCAGAACTGCATCATCTGTAACTTGTATTTTAAATGAAAAAGCCAGTGTAGCTGATTTCTGGACTCTGCTTCCAGACCTCGCTGATCTTCTGACATTTGCCTTTGCCTGATTCATTTTGAAAATGGAAAAAAGAATATGTAGAGTGATTAAGCAAACTCTAGAGTGGTTTTCTAGAATGCCTAAACTCCAATTGTTACCATTTTATCATACTTGTTTCATCTCTCTCTCTCTCAATTAAAGAAATACAACACTACAGATATGATCCCTGGGTGGGCCAACCTCAGTTTCCTGCTTTTTCCTATCTTTCCACTAATGCATTCAGTTTGAAGGAGTCTTCCAGGAAATTTTCTGCACACATATTTATAAGTGTATACACTTTATTACTTTGTTAGTAGTAGTAGTAGTAGTAGTAGTATTTAAGATTTCATTTATTTATTTAAGAGAGCGGTGGGGAGAGGTGCAAAAGGAAAAAGAGAATCCTTAGACTCCCTGCTGTGTGCAGAACTTGTGGGGCCTGATTCCATGACCCTGAGATCATGACCCGGGTTGTAGTCAAGAGTCTGATGCTTAACTGACTGAGCCACTCAAGCATCCCTGTTTCTCTATTATTGTTTTACGTTGTAAGAATGCAGTCTTATTGCACATATATTTGTAAATGTCTTTTTATGAAAGAATACTTTCATAAAATACTGTTTGAGACAAACAGGTTGAGTTTCTTGCCCATGGCCACTCATGTAGTAAGTGGCAGAAGTGGGATTTGAACCTGGAGATTGGAACCATTGTCAGAATTCACGCAAATGAGCACTTTATTATAATATAAAGATCTAGTTTCTTTCTTGTTATTACTGTATAGAATTCTTCCATAATGCCAAATTTTATTGATCTATTTCCTTATTATTTTTGATTTCTTACTATCACAAATCATGTGACAAAGAACATAATTGTACTTAGGCCTACATCTAGGATTTCCATCAGGTAAACACTTAGAAGTAGACTTGTTAGGTATTTTTCAATTTCATTTTCAATTTTAGTATAGTAATTAGGAGCAGGGATCTTGGACTCAGAATCACTGGATTTGAATCCTGACTCCATCATTTGCTAGTTATATAAACTCAGTCTCATTCAACTTTATTCTTTTATTATTACCTTTTATCAATTATTCTATAGAGTCATTTCCCCTTTCAAATTAGTTTTTTAGTAGTCTTTGTATATTCTTTATTTTATGTTCTCATCTTCCATATGTTGTAAATATACTTCTCCACTCAGTTTGATTTTTTTTTTAAAGCTCAGCTCTATTGAGGTACAATTTACACATAATGAAATTCACCTCTTTTAGGTATACAGTTCAATGAGTTTTGACAAATGTATAGTCATGTAACCACCAACACAGTGGAAATACAGGACATTTCATTATCACCCAGAGGTTCCTCGTGCTCATTTGTGTCAATCTCTTCCCACCATATATCTGAATTTCTGCCTTACAGTCTTTTCTGAAATGCACTGTAAATGGAATTGTCCATTACAAAGTTTTTGTGGTTGGATTCCTTCACAGAGTACACTGCTTTTGAGATTCATTTATGTTATTGTACAGTTCAATAGCTCCTTCCTTCTTATTGCTAAGTGGCATTTCACTGTATGTATGCTCTCCACTCACACCATCCATGACATTTCGATGATTTCCAGTTTGGGGCTATTAGAGACCAAACTGCCATGAACATTTACATGCAAGCTTCTTCATAGACAAAAGTTTTGGGTTTTTTTCTGGATAAATACTTGGGATTGGGATTGCTAGTTTACATGGTAACTGCATGTTTAGCCTTACAAAAACACTGCTATGCCATTTGCCACAGTGGCTGTACCATTTTGCATTCCCAACAGCAAACTATGAAAGTTCCAGTTGTTCCGAATCCT